CTGAGGGTTTTCTGACACCCTCCGGTTGATCCCATCCATTGCCCATTTAGAACTACATGGAGCTGAAGCCAAGAGGCTAGGTACAGTGGTGGGGTGGCCAGAGCCAGCTATTTATGGGGCATACAAACATCAGCTGGGATTTTTACAAGAAGGGGTGACTGGTTTTAGTTTGTGTTGCTGGTTTTTAACAGCCTGGCCTGTGAAGTTAACATCCTTCCATCTCTCACATGCCTTGAGAACACTGAAGAGGCAGGCAGAAGGGAAGTAGGGGAACCACTGGTGCCACATGAACTTTCAAACTGCACTCCCACAAAGTCAAGAAAGAGCCACAGACAGGCTCCAATCATGCTTGCAAATCACAAAATGAAGGCAGAAGCCACACCAGAAGATCTGACTTTTTAAAAAAACCAGAATCTCACTCTGTCACCCAGGTTGGAGTGCAGAATATGGCTTACTGCAGCCTTGACCTCCCTGCTCAGGCAATCCTTTCACCTCAGTCTTCTGATCAGCTGGACTATAGGTGTGCACCACCACTCCTAACTATTTAAAAAAAAATTTTTTTTTTGTAGTGATTAGGTCTCACTGTGTTGCCCAGGCTATCTCTAACTCCTGGCGCAAGCAATCCTCCCACCATGGCCTCCCAAAGTGTTGGGATGCTAGGTGTGAGCTACCATGCTTGGCCTGGATCTTAACTTTTAAAATACTTTGTATTGCAATGGCTAAAATGTATTAGCTTCCTTTTAGAAAATATCAATTTCATTTGCAACAAACATTTATACAAGACACAGAAGACTAGCAAGACAATCTTAGCAAAAGATACTCTAGAAAACACTAAATCTGCTTATAATTTGTTTAAAGAGGGAAGAAGGACTCTACTTGAAATGGGTCAGACACATCAGTACATATTTTATCTATTGCTTGGCTCCATCCATAGCTCTTACAATAACTCTCTGAGTTATTGTAAGACCACCACCCCTATTTTAGGGATTAAGAGACTGAGGATTAGAGAGACTGGATAAACTCATATAACAATAGTGAGGACTCGTGTCTCTAAAGCCCACTGGAGGGCCAAGTACAGTCACACATGCCTGTAATTCCAGTGCTCTGGGAGGCCAAGGTGACCTGCTTGGACAACATAGCAGAATATTTGCCAGGCGTGGTGTTTCACACCTGTAGTCCCAGTTACTCAGGAGGCTAAGGTGGGAGGATTGCTTGAGGTCAGAAGTTCAAGGCTGCAGTGAGTTATGCTTGTGCCACAATACTCCAGCCTGCATAACACCATGAGACCCTGTCTCTAAAAGATAAATAAGTAAAAATAAAGCTGCCCCCCCCCCGTGTCTTTAAAAGAAGGACATATCAGCCAGATGCAATAACTCACGCCTGTAATCCCACACTTTGGGAGGCTAAAGTGGGAAGATAGCTTGAGCCCAGGATTTCAAGACCTGCCTGGGCAACGTAATGAGATCTCTACAAATGCATGCCTGTAGTCCCAGGTACTCGGGAGGCTGAGGTGGACGGGTCTCCTGAGTACAGGAGGTTGAGACTATGGTGAGCCATGATCATACCACTGCACTCCAGACTGGGACAAAGAGTAAGACCCTGACTTTAAAAAAGAGAGAGAGAGAGAGAGAAAGAAAAAAATATATTAGCACCTACTTATCATTTGCATTTGAGAATCATACATAATAAGGTATTGGGATTGCCATAGAGCCAGTGAATAGGAGCAGGTTTACATCTGGGCCCTCAGTTGCTAACACAAACCCAGGAGGTTCTATCCCAAGGAGCAGAGATTTCCCCTCTCACTCAGTGACACCATGTCTCCCAAAGGAAAAGCTACATCCTGTCCATGGGACCCAGACCCATGTCTACTTGTCTGATGTTGCTGGTCCCCCACTAATCTAGTTTACCACCTCCAAAGGCTACTATCTCAGCATCCCTTAGAGTGTTGACTCTGCAATGTCAGCAAGAAGCTTGCCCTGTTTTTGATCATTTTAGGACAGCATTTTACTGCCCCTCCAGGCACAAGGCATAGCCATTACTATGTCACCCTCTTGCCCTGGTCTCTGGGGTCAGATCTAATATCTGCAGCCGGCACATCATGACACTTAGAGACACCCATTTCCTGTGGGCTACCAGATGTGAGAGTTGTAATCACTAAGAAAATAACCAGGCAGAAGAATGACTAGCCAGCCTGTGTTTTAAGTGACTACTGCTTAGAAATAGCTTTCTGGAAGCTACCAGAAATGACCTTATCTGGATTCACAGGACAACCTAAAGGACAACATTCCATGAGGCTTTTTATAGAATCACTATATAAAGTTTTTCAGCAGTATTTCCTGTGCCCATGTTCTTTCATCCTAGAATTTGTTCCCAGTGGAATTTGGTGTGGTTAGGGGTTTCACAGAGACAGAACCACAGGAATCAATCAGACCAGCCCCCGCCAGACTTACAGCCTTTTCCTGCCTCTCAGAGCAGGTGGAGAGGGGTCAAGATGGTTGGAGGTATGTGTACTCAAAGGACAGTGGAGAGAGGGTGCTTCTTAGGAGAGCCCTGGATATTCAACTCCACCAGCATTGCTATATTTTTGTTAGAAGGCAACAAGAGGGAGACCTGGATGGAATCCTCTGACAGCTTGAATCGCTGGTCGATTGTCCAGTTTCTTTTGCCTTGTTGACTCCCTGCACCTGGTTGGTTCCTGGAACATGGCCCATCTGGAAGGTGACTTTTCCACTGCTGGAAGCCACTGTGTGTGCTGCCCTGTGGTGCCTTTGGCGTGTCTGTGAGTGCCTCTGTGCCCCTCCTTTTGAATTCTGAGAGTGTGGCAACTCCTTAACTCCCACTTGGGGTGCTGGAGGAGAGAATTCAGGACTTCTCTTGTTGGGGAGACATTCACAACAGGGCACAGTCTCCCTTCTTCCTCTGTTTGTATTTTCTCCACAGTCCATTTCACTGTAACGTTCATGTTAAGGTTTGTTAGTTGTGAGTCACTGAACCTCCACACTGTTCCTCTACTCAGGGTTAGCAAAGTGCCTTTTTATTGTAGTGTCTCCCAAAACAATAAAGTGTTATGTTTTTAGAAAGTTCCTGAAATTTTCAACATGGAGTAGCCCAAGAAACAATGTAAAAGGACTGAGTCTTAACAGTAACTTGTGTTGGGTGGACTCCAGGGAGTAACAAGACCATGGCAAGTAAGGAGTTAAACCTTGAGTTAAACCATAAACACAGCACATAACAGAACAGGACAACCAGGACAGTCACAGGGAAGAAAGGCTTCCAAACGCCTGCAAAGACTTGGAAACCAGATTGGATTTGTCGTTGTATGATTGTGAATATGAATAGTTAAATTTCTCATCCTAAACTGAGTTACTGATGTTTGGGTCTTTTACTTTCTTGTAAGTAGCTCAAGTAGCAACGAAACTCAAGTCAAACCCCAGCTTGGTCATGGCGTTTGGCACCCTGGCTGCTTACCCAGATGAGGCCCACAGATAGTGCCCCCCTGGGCAGCTGAGGCCCCCAGGCTGCCTGAACACCCACTAAGCCATGGGGCCACATGTTCTGTGTTAGTGGTAGGGATTTTTGATGTCCCCTAAAAGCACTTGCTGTTGCACATGGGGTGGTAGAGTCAACGGTGAGAAAAGGAGACCCAACAATCCTCTAAGTGGGTCTAGAGCTTTAGAGTTCTCAAAGCACTTGACTTTTATTTAATCTCATTTGATCATCTCAATAATCCCATGAGATAGCAGGGTCACAAGCAGAATAGCCAGTGTGGTTTTTGCAAGGATGAAGTAGAAAGTGCTACTAGGCATGCTGACATTATCACTATTCTCCTCTCAAAGACTGCAAGTCACCTCGTGTAATTCTTCCTAATTACACATGAGGACATGAAGGGGGACAGAGGTTGTATGAGTTGAGTCTAAGGTTACCAGCTCGTTGGTGACTAGATAAGGACTAGAATCCTGGTGCTGACTAGGCCTATGTCTGTGCTGGTCCTAGCGTTCAGGAAGGTCTTGTGACAGAAATCAGTGTCTAGTTCTCACTGAATGTGTCAATCCCAACAGGCCTGCCTCCTTGCTGCTGTCAGAAAACATTTTCTTTTGCAGGATCATTCTGGAAACTCTTACTTTAACTCCTGGTTCCTTTCTCAAAATATCAGTGGCAATCTCTCAACTCTACAGAATATCTTGATAGCTTATTATGTATAGCTTGTTCTTTTTTCTTAAATTGTGAGCTAGAGCATTTATAGAGTGCAAACACATTTATGTGCAATTTTAAGACAAATTATATAGACTACTAATTCTGCTCGAGAAATAAAACATTGTTGGCATCCCAGAAACCTTGAATGCCCTCCCCAATCACAACCCTATTCTCTTCACTAGAAGTAACAATTATCCTGTTTCTGTGGTTATTATTATTTTTATTATTATTTTGCTTTTCTTCATCGTTGGCCCTCCTATATGTGTATCCTGAACAATTGTTTTGTTTTACCTATTTTGGCATTGCTATAAATGGAGACATACCATAGGTGTTAGTTCGCTGTGGTGGGGTATTGTCCGGACATGGACTCTCTCGCTTATACTTGGCTTCTTCCTGCCCCCTCCTTCAGGGAGTGGCCTCTGAAAGGTATGCATATTACCAGTAATGAGTCATGGAATGCAGGTGATCAAGCAAAGCTGAAAACAATGTAGTCATCATGCTCAATCAACGTAATTGTGCGCATCGCATCATATGGGAATTTGAATGCTTAACTTGATTGCTTTGATTATAAAACTGCTTGCTATACAGCCCTGAAGTGCAGATTCTTCACCGACCTGCTGCCATCAGTGCCTCCCATAAGTTTTAGTAAACCAAAGTTTTTCCCTGCTGGACCTCCAGGTGACTTCTTTTGTATAGGTAAACACTATCCACAAGCCCTCTCAGATTTGGGGTCACTGCATTACAGTTGTTTAAACATATGTATATATTTTTTATTTTGTCCTTTAGAGATCCCCAAGGCAGGAGTTATGGCAGCCAAACCCAAGCTCTACTACTTTCCTGGCAGGGGCAGGATGGAGTCCATCCGCTGGCTGCTGGCCGCAGCTGGAGTAGAGGTTGGTTCCCAACTGGGAAAAGGAAGGAGAATAACTTGGGTGGGATTGAAGCCATTCCCTTTCCCCTTCAAACTTCAGGATGGTGCGTGCCTTCAGGCTCTGCTTGCTCTTACTTTCTAACCAACCACTTCCTTTGTAAGAGGTGAGGGAGGGATGGGGTCCTGGGTGGGTGGTAGGCTAGGGAGGAGGTGGGATACTGAGGGGTGTTCTGGAAGCTTCATAGGAGCTGAAAAGGTCTCAGATCATCCCAGGACAAAGGAGAGAGGAGATCCACATCTGCCTTGTTCTGCCACTGGCACCAGCTGACTATCTGAGGTCTTTCCCACTCTACCTCCACTCCTCACCTCAGTCACATAGCTCTACGGCCACTAGCTGGGAGCTTCATTTCCCTCTTTTCCCTTTAGGGGTGTCTCCCGACACTGGTCACCTTACTCCAACCCATCTCAAGGTTTGGAGGATTAAAAAAAATCAATCTTTCTCACAAAAGCTTTAGAAACTTCATCAGTAAATTATGATAACCTCGCCTAAGTAATGATTTCTGGGTCCTTCTCTTTGAATATGTGAACATCAAAAAGAAAATTAATTTGTCCCGGTATGGAGCGAGAGCAACACAGAAGAGAGAGAAGAAAAGAGAGAAATGGGAAGAGGAGAAATCCTTGGGGGAGTCAGAGAAAAAACAAGAGTTTGGAGAGAGGGGAGAAACAAGATGAAGAAAAAGAAAAATAAGAATGAGGGCTTGGGGGTATCCTTTAAGTAGACAAAACCCAGAAAGAACTGCCAGTGCCATGGTGGTCTAAACTTATCTATACACACACTCTGTCAGAATTTTCAGCCATGTACTAGTGGATACATTTGTTATTTCCTTTAAAATTTTAATCTGGAAGACCTTGGGAATTTAATACCGTGTTTCTCTCTTTTTTTCTTGAAGGCCTAAAAGTTATATGATAATGTATCTCTCTCTCTCTCCTTGATCTAGTTTGAAGAAGAACTTTTTGAAACAAGAGAACAATATGAGAAGGTGCAGAAGGGTGAGCTTAGATTTATTCAATCTTATTGGAAAGAATAAAAGCTTGATTCTGGAAATATTTACTATGATTAAGAACACAGAGCTTTAGAGTGGCAAGTAGTAGAAAAGGCAAGCACAGAGCATGACTACTAACATCAAATGGCTGTTTGCTGTGTCCCTGGCACACAGCCAAGTGTGTCATCTGCCTTAGCCAAACTCATTAAGTAGGTCGTCATGGTGACCTCAGTAATTTGATCCCATAGGTTGACTAGTGCTGATTGGTTCAATACTCATCATTCCACCAAAAAATCCTTTAAGCAATCTTAAATAATGATCCAGTGGGTTGGAGAGGAGGGGGCAGAGGGAGGGTGAATCTGACCTAAGATATTCTCCAGTTCTCATGATCACATTCACTTTTTCTTTATTTTCTTTCTTTGTTCCTTTTTCTTTTTTTGAGTCAGACTCTCATTCTGTCTAGTACAGTGGCACAATCACAGCCTCAACCTGCTGGGATGACAAGCACACACCACCACACCTGGTGAATTTTTCTGGTTTTTGTAGAGACAAGGACTCACCATGGCGCCCAGGCTGGTCTCGAACTTCTGGACTCAGGCAATCCTCTCGCCTTGGCTTCCCAAAGTGCTGGGATTACAGGTGTGAGCCACTGCACCTAGCCCACATCTACTTTTTCTATTTTTATTTTAAAGATGTGGGGTACAGTTCAGGATTAGGTATACAAGTGCTCATCATACAGGTAAAGTTTGGGCCTCCCTTTGGTCCCCACTTCACCTGGTTTGAGATTAGGTACCCTTATTGGTGTTGTGTAACCCGTTCCCCCAGCCCTCCCACCGGCAGTTTCCCACTACTGCCAATCCCTTTCTTATACTGTTTTGTTAAATGTTCAGGGTCCACTTATGAGTGAGTACATGTGGTAGTCAGTTCTTTGTTTCTGTGATAAATCATATAGACTCTAAATCCATCCAAGTTGCTGCAGAGTTCATACTTTTGTTTTTCTTTTTGGCTGTGTAATATTTCATCATGTATATGTACCACATTTTATTTATCCAGTCCACTTTCAATGGGCAGTATGATTTGTTCCATGTTTTTGCTATTGTGAATAATGCAGCAACAAACATGTGTGTGCAGGTATCTTTTTTGTTTGTTTGTTTAACACTTTTTCACTAGCAGGTTAATAGAAACCATTTTATTAGACCAGAGTCAAGACTATGGAAAGCATCCACATTGGATTAAATTTTGACTCAAGACAGAGTTCTAAAGCATACCAGTTCCCCAGAAACATTTATCATACTGAGAGTCAAGATGAATACATACACTTCTAACAGCCATAACGTTATTTTTCTTATCTAAGGAAACCTGGGTGTCCTCACTATTGCTGATAAACACATGAGGTTAACACAAATTGATTTTAAGGAGGACATTCACCTAGTAGTTAACACAACTGCCACTTATAAACTGTATGACTCTGGGCAAGACCTTTACCTTCTCTGCATCTCTGTCTCCTTACGATGAAATGAAAAGAATTCTATAGTTGTAGACTGTAATGTACCAGAAGATCTTATTGAGTAAGTAGGACCTGTCTACCCCTTCCTCAGTTCTTGCCCAGGAACTTTATTATCTGGAATCCCTCTGAAACACTTCCTCTTTTTTCCTGCACTACTGCACCTCAGACAAGAACAGTCCCTGGTATACAGTTGGCGTTGAAACATACATATTGAATAAGTGAATGGATCCTAGAAACTCTTGTATGAGCATTTCCGGCAAGAAATGTTCCTCCAGCCTCCGAAATCCTCCAACTCTTGACCTGTCTCCTGGGCTTTACTGTTATTTGTGAGAGAGCACTGGACTGGGAGTTAGGAGGCCTCCTTCTGTTGCCTTGGCTGTCCCCTGACTGTGTGAGTTTGGGTGAATTACATTCATCTCCCTTGACCTCTGCAATACCTTTGTCTATAATTTGAGGGGATTGAACTAAATGATTCCTTCACTCTTGATCTGAAATTTTTAAAAATCCCTTTGAAGAAGACCATATGTTCCCAGAGGCAGGTATCACTTTTTTTTTTTTTTTTTGAGTCAGAGTCTCACTCTGTTGCCCAGGCTGGAATGCAGTGGCACGCTCACGTCATCCCAGCATCGACCTGCTGGACTCAGACAATCCTTCCACCTCAGCCTTACAAGTAGATGGAACTACAGGCACGTGCTACCGTGCCTGGCTAATGTTTTGATATATTGTAGAGATGAGGTCTCACCAAGTTGCCCAGGCTGGTCTGGAATCCCTGGGCTCAGGCAATCCTCTCACCTCTTCAGTCCTCTTGCTGGGATTACAGGCTTGAACCACCATGCCCGGCCAGGCATCACTTCTAATGAACATTTGGATCACTCCCGAGAAGTGGCATAGTGCCTGGCTTTCAATATTGATACCCATTCAATATTGAATACATGTAGAAGTACCTTTAGTCGATGGAGGTTTTGCAGCCTCTCCATGAATTATAGGACTAATATTTCCAAAGCATAGCCAAAGCACAGTCTTATTTCTATTCAGAGAATCTGGATAGGATGAGCAGGACATAATGCTTCAGGTCAGGAAACAACTCAGAGGAGTTAGACACCTGCCTAAGTATATTCAGCTACACAGGAATACTGCTCTCTGGAAGGCCATCACTGGCTCTTGTGGAGGTGTTCCTCCCACATCTTCTGCTGCCTGTCATCAAATCAAGGGGAGCAGTTTTAGAAGCTGGAAAAACTGATTTAGCCATTGCCAGTGCACTGGTGAACTCTGCTTCCTGCATGTGAAGGTGCTTATGGAAATAGTGAAAGCTATTCATTTCTTCAAGACCCCAGGAAAAGAGCAATATTTGTCATTTATCTTCCAATGTGTTATTTATATGTGCAGTTGCTTGCAAAAAAGAGAACTTGATGTTACCAAACATAGATTACTGATTACTGATTCTTACTATTCTAAAGAAAGAATGCTGAAGCCCAGATGAGTAATTTGCTGAAAGCCACATGGCTGGAAAGAGCTAAAGTTGACATTTGAACCCAAGGCTGCCTGGGTTCTTTTTGTCACACCCATCCTGCTGCCATGTCTACCCAGAGTGATGCCTGGTGTGTTTTTTAAAGAACGCAGACTCCTAGACCCTATTAATCAGTGGACCTGGGAAGTGTGGTGGGTATTTTTAACACCCCCACCCCAGATGATTCTCCTGCACCCTAAACTTTGAGAACCAGAAGCATCCATACTCTAACATGGTTATAATACCCATGGAAAATCTTAAATAATCATGATTAACCAACAGACAACAATGCATTAAACATTATGAATTGTTTAATAATGCATAAATAAATAAATCTCAAATTTTACATGAAGCAAATGGTAGGTATTTTGTCAACAACTGGGGTCTTTAATTCATCACTTTGATAAAAACTAAAAATCATTCAGAAATTAGAAGTGACTCATCCTGTAGACTTATAGCAACCATTGAAAAAGCGTACCTTAACCTCTCTTTGCCCAAACCCCAGATGGACGCCTGCTTTTCGGCCAGGTGCCTTTGGTTGAAATTGACGGAATGGCATTGACTCAGACGAGAGCCATCCTCAGCTACCTCGCCGCTAAGTACGACTTCTATGGGAAGGACCTGAAGGAAAGAGTCAGGTACTGTAGCGTTTGTGCCCGCACATGGTTCTTTCCCAAGCTTCAGAAGTCCTGCACCAACTGAGACCTGGTTTGGGTGTCCCTTTCAGACTAGGCTGAGAGGAGAAGAGAAGTGGGGAGAGGAGAGATGTCTTGCTAGACCTGGTATGCCCCAGCTTCTCTTTTCGTGTACTACTCATAGTGCAGATAGTGATATCCCATATCTCCATCTTTAAACAGACTTAGTCATGCCAACCTGCAATTCCAATGGTATGTGACAAAAAAGCACCATCAAACTATGTTTGAATATGATCCTTTTGTAATGCTATCAGTACTAATATGAAAAGGGACCTGTTTTTTATTGTTTTGATGCATATCTTAAAATTGGATTTAAACAATAGCCATAATTTTTTTCCAAGATACGTGTCCTAAGCTATAGAGAGTGTCATTAATATTCTTTTTCTCTAGGTCAGGCATGAACTGTAATAGACTCCAAGTGGGCCAGATGACAATCTAACATGGAAGAAAAATGATTTGTAATTCAAATAGGACAATGAAATACAGTATTCTTTTAAAAAATTCTTTATTTTTTAGAGACAGAGTCTCACTATGTTGCCCAGGCTGGTCTCAAACTTCTGGGCTCAAGTGATCCTCTTGCCTCAACCTTCTGAGTAGCTGGGAGCGGAGGTATGCACTACTGAGCTGGCTCCATCATTCTTTTTATTTATTTATTCAAGTAAGGATCTCACTCTGTCAACCAGGCTGCAGTGCAATGGCATGATCACGACTCACCACAGCTTCAACCTCTTTTATTATTATTATTATAAAGATTTGGGGTACAATTCAGGGTTAGGTATACAAACATTGATTATGCAGGTACCCTTGTTGATGAGGTATGCCCCTCCCTCCCCTAGCAGTTTCCCTCAACTGCCAATCCCGCCCCCCTCTCCTGACAGTTTCCCACTACTGCCAATCCCTTTCTTATAGTATTATAATAATTGTTCAAGGTCCACTTATGAGTGAGAGAACATATGGTACTCTGTTCTTTGTTTCTGTGATAAATCACTGAACTTCGACCTCTTGGGCTCAAATAAACCTCCCTCCTCAGCCTTCCAGATAGCTGGAATTATAGGCATGCAATACCATACCTGGCTAACATTCTTTTCTGATATGCAGTTAAAAGGAAAGGCAAAGACTATAGACAATCATTAAAGCAAATTAATTGGGCAATTAGTGCATAGTGGGGAAGACACATTTGTAGAGATAACTAGCACACTGTGACTGCACCAAAAGCCAGTAAATAATAATAATATTTATTTATATTTATATTCTTATATAAATAAATTTATATTATTATATAAATATAAATAAATATTGTAAATATATTATATTTATATAATAATAATAATAACTTTTTTTTTAGTATTTGTCAATGAAAGAAAAAACTTTAAAGGGAATGGAATAGAACTGTTTGTCTGACCTCTCTAGGAAATTAATTTTTTATTTCTCTGTTGTCAGGTCAACAAAAGACTTGTTAAATTGCATATCTTCAGCTGGGCTCGGTGACTCAGCCTGTAATTCCAGCACTTTGGGAGGCCAAGGCGAGTGGATTGCCTAAGCCCGCGGGTTTGAGACCAGTCCAGGCAACTTGGCGAGACCTCATCTCTACAATAAAATAAAAAATAGCCAGGCATGGTAGCGTGCATCTGTAGTTCCGTCTACTTGGAAGGCTAAGGCAGAAGGATAGCTGGAGCTCAGAAGGTTGATGCTGGGGTGGCCATGAGTGTGCATGCCACTGCACTCCAGCCTGAATGAGTGAGGCTCCAACTAAAAAAAAAAAAATTGCATATCTTCTCTAACTAAAATGAAAGGTTCTGGTACAAATATTTTTGCACTTTTGGTAAACTTCATTGAGTTCAGTTTTATTTTTTAAATTTATTTTTATTTATTTATTTTTTGAGTCAGGATCTCACTCTGTCACCTAGGTTGGAGTACAGTAGCACAATCATGGCTCACTGCAGCCTTGACCTCCTGGGCTCAGGTGATCCTTCCGCCTTAGACTCCCAAGTAACTTTTACTACAGGTGCACACTACTGCTCTTGGCTAATTTTTTGATGTTGTGTAGAGATGAGGTTGTACTATGTTGCCCACTCTGGTCTTGAACTCCTGGGCTCAAGTGATCCTCCTGCCTCGGCCTCCCAAAGTACTGGGATTATAGGCATGAGCCACTGTGCTTGGCCAAGTTCAGTTTTTAAAGTCATAATAATCCAATTATTTGTATATGGCAGATTTCAACTTAGAGGCATTCATAAATTCCTTCTTTTTTTTTTTTGAGTTGGAGTGTCACTCTGTTGCCCAGACTGGAGTGCGGTCGCCGCTCCCGGCCACCGCAGCCTCGACCTGCTGGGCTCCGGCGATCCTTCCGCCTCAGCCTTCCAAGTAGCCGGAATTACAGGCATGTGCTACCACGTCCGGCTGATTTTTTGATTTATTGTAGAGATGAGGTCTCGCTGCCCACGCGAGTCTCGAACCCGCGGGCTCAGGCAATCCACTCACCTCAGCCTCCCAAAGGCGCAGGATTACAGGCTGAGCCACCGAGCCCGGCCATGAATTCTTTCATACATCCTATTATTCAGTAAACTTTTCCAGAGACCCTACTATATCCTGGCCACTTGGCTGGTTCTGGAACAGAAATCATTCATGAGAGCTGAAGTTTAAGGAGGAGAATCAAAAGTCATTTGCTCCAACATCTATTTTCACCATAGAAGGATGTGATTAGGAAACCCTGTACTCGAAAGTTCCTCTCAGAATGTGTCATGGTGTTTTGCCAGGATCGACATGTACACTGACGGCACCTTGGACCTGATGTTTCCAATAATGGCGTCCCCGTTCCAACCTCCTAAGGAAAAAGAGGAAGGCCTTGCTTCAGCTGTGAAGAAAGCTAAAACCCGGTACTTTCCTGTCTATGAAAAGGTAGGCTGCAGGGACCCAGGGCTTTTACATTTCCGGTCACTGAGAATATCTCGAGTGAATATCTGGACAGAGAGAAGCCATATGAGAGCTTTACTGCTTTTAGGTTCAAACTTTAATAAGGATTCCAGAACAAATAACAGGTAAAATTCGGGAGCCTCCAACAATGCAGAGTTGGAATAAACCAAGTACAATGAAAGTATATGGCATTTCTGTTCTGATTTTTTTTTTTTTTTTTGAGTTGGAGTCTCACTCTGTCGCCCAGACTGGAGTGCAGTGGCTGCTCCCGGCCACCGCAGCCTCGCCTGCTGGGCTCCAGCGATCCTTCCCCTCAGCCTTCCTAGTAGCCGGAATTACAGGCATGTGCTACCATGCCCAGCTGATTTTTTTTTTATTTATTGTAGAGATGAGGTCTTGCTGCCCAGGCGGGTCTTGAACCCGCGGGCTCAGGCAATCCACTCACCTCAGCCTCCCAAAGGCGCGGGATTACAGGCTGAGTCACCGAGCCCGGCTTGTTCTGATTTTTAAAATAGGACATTAACCAAGGTGTGACCACCCTGAATTCACTGTCAGGAGATTTTTTTTTTTTTTTTTTTAGGTCTGTACTAGAGGGTCATCATGTCTTGACCAAAAGACAAAGTCTCTTAAAGTTACAAGTTTCCTGAAGTCATTTTGGAGTGAATATTAATGACAGATGTCCTTCTCGTCCATCTGGCAGCACGGAAAATGATAAGGGAGACTTGGTAGCTTAGGGTTTCATGAGGTTTTGCTGGATGAAAGAATTGTGTGTATATATCCTCAATCTTCGCCTTGTGAGAGAACAATTCATTTCTGACTAAACTATAATGAATAATTCCATCAGTACCTCAGAGTACTAGACAAACAAGTTCCTGTTTTATTCAGGTACAACATACAGCATTGTTGAAATGCCTTCTTGTTTAAGATAAGTAATGTAATTATTTGAATTGTAGTATTCAATGTACTTTATCATATTACCAATTTTGAAATCAGTGTGTAGCCTAATCCAGTACTTCCCAAAAGATTTTTAAAAATTCTTTATTTATTCAAATCAGGATCAAATGCAACTGCATTGATTAATCAACACATTTCTTAAGGTCTTTTTAATCTGTAAGCTCCTTCTTCTCGGTCTCTCTCTCCTTTTTTCCTCTTGTACTTATCTAGTAGAGGTTTCCCATGGTCTGGGTTTTACTCATGGTACCATACTTCTTTGTTTCTAGATTTCTCATAAATTGCAAATTGAAAGGAGAAGTTTGATCAGGGTCAGTCTCGGTTATTTTGGCCAGACTACTTTACAGGTGGTGTTATGTAGGTCATCAGGGAACATAAATTGTCTGGTTATTTTTGCTCTACAATGTTCGTGCAATTGACTATCCAAGCCTAGCTACATTGATTTGTTACACTGATTTATTAGTGGATGCCACATGTTGACATTCCAATCAGCCCCTCTTCATTTATTAGCTGGAATATTTTCTATAATATAATATATATTTGTGAGTATGACTTATGTAGGAAGGGAGGATCCATGCTTGGTTTGCCACTTTAAAAAAATAAGTTAGTTACCTAGCATCTTCAAAGGGAAGCAATGAATTTTGTTCTTGTTTTTGTCCTTTAAGTAGCATTATGGTTCTACTCTTTTTTTTTTTTTTTTTGAGACAGGGTCTCATTTTGTCGACCAGGCTGGAGTATGGTGGCGTAATCCTGGCTCACTGCAGCCTTGACTTTCTGTGCTCAAGTGATCCTCACACTTCAGCCTCCTGAGTATCTGGGACTACAGACTCACACCACCACATCTGGCTAATATTTTTATTTCTTTGTAGAGACAAGATCTTGTTATATTGCCCAAACTGATATCAAACTCCTGGGCTCAAGCAATCTTCCTGCCTCGGCCTCCCAATGTCCTGGGATTACAGGCATGAGCCACCGTGCCCAACCCAAAGATCTTATTCTTAAGGCTCGAGTATTTCACCTTTGGGTCAGTGGTAGCTTCTTCAAGTTTGCCCCTGGACTTTTTGACATGACCCAGACGAACTTCCTTGTTCTCTGATATGACAGGATGCTCCCAGCTCATCTCGTACATTTTCTTCTTCAGCTCTGATTTTGCCATTTTCCCAGGAAGCTCTGATTACTTTTATTTATTTATTTATTTTTTGAGTTGGAGTCTCACTCTGTTACCCAGGCTGGAGTACAGTGGCACACTCATGGCCACCCCAGCATCAACCTACTGGGTTCCGCTATCCTTCCACCTCAACCTTCCAAGTAGTGTGTGCTACCATGCCTGACTAATTTTTTTGATTTATTGTAGAGACGAGGTCTTGCCAAGTTGTCCTGGCTGGTCTGAAACTCGTGGGCTCAGGCAATCCCCTCGTCTCGGCCTCCCAAAGTGTTGGGATTACAGACTGAGCCACCGAGCCTGGCCAGCTCTGGTTACTTTTATGTTTTCTAACTTTTTCATGTCACAGTACCCATAAGGAATGATAATATCTGTATAGCACTGGGACAAACAGACAAAACAACTGGTAGCTGGAAGAGGCTGCTTTGATACAACCTCAGGAGATTGGGGCTCAAATTCTTGGTTATTAACCCATAGCAGTGAAGCATGATTCTCTGGGTAACATATTCTGGCCCCCAAGTCCCTCCTTAATCAGATGTTGGATTACTCAGAATAGTCACTTATAAAGCTGTTTTACTTAACTTGGAGTTGTATATAATACATTTTTATATTTTGAATTTTTTTATTTTAAATATGTGGGGTACAATTCAGGGTTAAGTATATAAATGTTCATTATGCAGTACCCTTGTTGATGAGGTGTGCCCCTCCTCCCCTGGCAGATTCCCACAACTGCCAATCCCTTTTTTATAGTATTATGATAGTTGTTCAAGGTTCACTTATGAGTGAAAACATGTGATACTCGATTCTTTGTTTCTGTGATAGATCACTCAGTATTATAGCCTCTAAGTCCATCCAAGTTGCTGCAAAGTTCATAATTTTGTCCTTCTTTATGGCTGCATAATATTCCATTATGTATGTGTACCACATTTTTTTACTCTAGTTCTCTTTCAATGGACAGCACTGTTGGTTCCATGTGTTTGCTATTGTAAATAATGCTGCAATAAACATGCATGTGCAGGTATCTTTTTTATAGAGTGATTTGAATTCCTCTGGGTATATTCCCAGTAGGGGGATTGCGGGTCATATGGGAGGTCAATTTTTAGACCTTTTAAGAATTGCCAAACTGTTTTCCATAGAGGTTGTACTAGTTTACACTCCTTCCAACAGGGTAGAAGTGTTCTCTTTTTGCCGCACCCTCTCTAGCATCTGCTGTTTTTTGAGTTATTGATGATGGCCACCCTGACTGGAGTTAGGTGGTATCTCAATGTGGTTTTAATTTGCATTTCTTTGATGACTAGTGAGGCTGAGCATTTTTTCACTTATCTGTTGGCTGTCCATATGTCTTCTATTCATAACTTTTTGTCCACTTTGTAATGGGGCTGTTTGTTTTTTTCTTTTCAGCACATTTGAGTTACTTATAGATTCTAGATGTTAGACCTTTGTCAGATATACAGTTGGCAAATATTTTTGCCCAGTCTGTGGGCTGTCTCTCCGCTCTCTCAGTGGTTTCTTTGGCATTGCAAGAAGCTTGTCAATTTGAGGTTGCACTTGTCTATCTTATCTCTTATGGCATGGGCACTTGGCATCCTCCCAACCAGAGAAGTCAAAGACCTGGTACTACAGCAGTGTTCTGTAGTTTTAGTTGAAAACTACAGAACACTGCTCAAATAAGTCAAAGATGACACAAACAAATGGAAAAATATTTCATGCTTATGGATTGGAAGAGTCAACATTGTTAAGATGTCCATCCTACCCAAGGCAATCTACAGATTTAACGCAATATTCATTAAATTACCAGGAGCATTCTTCTCAGACCTGGAAACGACAATACAGGAATTCATATGGAAATACAATAAATTTTTTAAATGTACCTTAGTGTTTAGTTTGCTTCCAGTGAATGTCTTGGTAAAATGTAACTATATGATTCATTCATATCCTGCTTGTACTTTTTGAAATATGCTACATTCTTGAGTCTAGTCTTTGGCCAGGACAGTGTTACTTTTTCTCTGTAAGACAGGGCATACTCAATAATTTTGATTGTGCTTTGAATTTAAATGCAAAATTACTAATTTCCTTAAGTTAAAGTCCTGGGAACTATTTCAAAATGATGCATCATCCTGACACATCACGGGGACTCGGGCTTTTGTTACTTGCCAAGTCATCTTTCTCAATATCCCTTCTGACCAAGAACATGTATTCTGGAGGCTGCTGGTTCAAGCAAGGCATTCTTCCTGGGGCTTTGGGATAGAGCTTTGTCTGTGTGAAGATCATGCACCTGAACAGAAAGCAAACCCTGCTTCTCTGATTCACCTAGATAACTGAACTACTTTTGCCAAACAAAACAATATTGTCTCTTGCAACTCAATATCCTAGATGCTGTATTTTGAAATATGTAAGTTAAAATTTTTGCATTCAGAGATTAAATTTTATTTCTGAAAGAAAGGTGAGTTTTTAAAATTATGAGAAGTAGATGTTCATTAATAAAAAATTGGACAATACAAAATTGTAAAATGTAGAAAGAAATAAACGGCTACTTTCCTCACCACAAAAAGGTAAATAATGTCAGTATTATTTTCATGTGTTTCCTCCCAGTCTTTTCAATATATATTTGGGTGGTTTTTTTTTTTTAGATTTTTAGATCATTGTAATTATACAGAAACTAATTTTGACCTGTTATTCTATTACAATTGACCCTTGATCAATGTGAAAACTGGAGTACTGATCCTCCCCCAGGTAGTTGAAAATCCACATAAAACTTTTTATTCCCCCCAAAATTAACTACTCATTGCCTACTGTTGACCAAAAGCGTTACCGACAACATGAGCAATCAATCAACACATATTTTACATGTTATGTGTATTATATACTGTAGTCTTACAATAAGGTAGGCTAGAGAAAATATATTATTAAGAAAAACATACGGAAGAGAAAATATATTTATTATTTATTGAGTGAAAGTAGGTCATCATAAACATCTTCATCCTTGTCATCTTCATGCTGAGTAGGCTGAGGAGGAGGAGGAAGAGGTATGGCAGTGGTGGAAGAAAATTTGAGTATAAGTGAACCTGCACAGTTCAAACCCATGTTGGTGAAGAATCAACCAGATTTAAAATATTTTCAAAAGAAGAACTGCTGTGTACCTATGACTTGGCACTGACAGATGTCATTATTTTTATTTTATTGCTTAAGGACTTCTTCCTTCTTAAAACAAATCTATATAGATAGTTGAAGTCTCCTTTGGACTGTACTCAAATATTATATCCCTTGCTCTCTCCCTCCCCAAAGGCAGTCACTCTCAGGAATCTGATATGATTCTTTCTGTCTAGTTTGAGACCTGGCTTTGAGTTGCTTAAAAAACTTTTACCTGTCTGGGTCTTAAAATATTTTATGTACATAGCAGCATACTATAATATATTCTTTATGTCAACTCTATGCTTTATATATGTCTTTATATATTCTTATGTCTTTATATATTCTTTATGTCAACTCTATGCTTTTGAGCCATCTAGGCAAGTGTCTTGTCATCATTCATACATTTGTATTTACCCTCCTTATTTCATTTTATTTTCTCTTTTGACAAATGCAAAACTTTTCCCACCCCCACCAAATCCTAGTAGATTGGTGAGGTTTTTGTTATTCTCAACTTTTCATCTAATAGTTCAGAAGGTAAACACTTCTTTCTTAAACTGTTTTAGTCTTTATCATTCTCTCCATAAGGCAAAACTTCAACTTCCCCACAAACTTTCTTCTTCCTCTGTCTATGGTTTTGATCCAACTTGATTTTAACCTCTTCCGAATTCGTTTTTTTAAAAGGCACTCACAGCCGGGCTTGGTGGCTCAGCCTGTAATCCCGCGGCTTTGGGAGGCTGAGGTGAGTGGATTTCCTGAGCCTGTGGGTTCGAGAACCCGCCTGGGCAGCAAGACCTCATCTCTACAATAAATCAAAAAATCAGCTGGGCGTGGTAGCGTGCGCCTGTAATTCCAGCTACTCAGAAGGCTGAGGTGGAAGGATCGCCGGAGCCCAGCAGGTCGAAGCTGCGGTGGCCGGGAGCGGCCACTGCACTCCAGTCTGGGCGACAGAGTGAGACTCCAACTCAAAAAAAAAAAAGAATAAAAAATAAATAAAAAATTTTAAAAAGGCACTCACTACTTATATATGTTTATCAACATGTCTAACTGATTTCTTAACTTCGTATGCCTTTCTTTTTATTATCTCTTTGAACATATTAAACACTTTTAACCCTTTACAGAATTCACTCTTATGTTTGGCTCTGTGGTTCCAAATTCTTTTTTCCATGAGTCTGTTCCCTCTGTCTCACCGAGGACATGGTTTCATTACATGCTGTGTGATTTCCGCTGTGAGCTTGCCTTGAGCAGGAGTCGCATCTCATGTATTTGATATATCTGATCTCACTCATCAAGTGTTTTTTTTTTTTTTTTTTTTGAGTTGGAGTTTCACTCTGTTGCCCAGACTGGAGTGCAGTGGCGCTCCCGGCCACCACAACCTCCACTGCTGGCTCTGGTGATCCTTCGGCCTCAGCCTTCCAAGTAGCTGGAATTACAGGTGCGCGCTACCACACCCGGCTGATTTTTGATTTATTGTAGAGATGAGGTCTCGCCAAGTTGCCCAGGCGGGTCTCGAACCGGCGGGCTCAGGCAATCCACTCACCTCAGCCTCCCAAGGCGTGGGATTACAGGCTGAGCCACCGATCCCGGCTACTCATCAAGTGTCTTTATCTTTGCCTTGGCTGGGAGCCGATTCACTGGTTCTGGACATTTTTTTGTGTGTCTATACCAGTATTTATTTTTCTTATTGTATGCGTTACAGGAAGAGATGTGGTGCTTGAATTTATCTTTGTTCCTTATTTATGGAGTAAACCCATATTTAATGTGTCTGCTACTCAAAGTTTCATTTTTCGCTGGGTAGTGAAAAATGAGCTATGTGGCTCAGGTTTGGACTTCTGGTATCCCATGAGTAACTTGTTTCTTCTGGTGGCACAGCAGATTCTGTGTCTCCCAGTCCTGGTGGGTACAGTTTTACTTAACCACCTCCAAATTTGTAACAGGAGCCCAGAACTAGCACTTTTCCACCCAAAGGGCCTTGATAATCACTGACAATTTTTTTTAAATTGTGCCAATTTATAGCACATGTAAGAGTGTTGGTTTCTTCCTTTCCTTATTAGCATTGGAGATTTAACAACAACAACAAAAATCTGTGCAAAAGACTTCATGCTTTTGTAAGTGGTCAGCCAGGCAAAATAGTCTTTTCTTTTTTTTTTTTTTTTTTTTTTGAGTTGGAGTCTCACTCTGTCGCCCACACTGGAGTGCAGTGGCCGCTTCCGGCCACCGCAGCCTCGACCTGCTGGGCTCCGGTGATCCTTCCACCTCAGCCTTCCAAGTAGCTGGAACTACAGGCGCACGCTACCACGCCCAGCTAATTTTTGATTTATTGTAGAGATGAGGTCTCGCCAAGTTGCCCAGGCGGGTCTTGAACCCGCGGGCTCAGGCAATCCAGCAAAATAGTCTTTAATTCCATTTGATACTCTTCGTTATTTTTCTTTCTGTAGATTTTAAAAAACCATGGGGAGGATTTTCTTGTTGGCAACAAATTCAGTTGGGCAGACATACAACTGTTAGAAGCTATTTTAATGGTGGAAGAAATGAATGCTTCTGTTCTTTCTGACTTCCCTCTGCTGAAGGTAATGTATTAACAACCACACAAAGCCCTGGAAAACAAAAATGAACAGAAATGGAGACCGAAACAAAATGTGTCTCCAGGCCAATCTCAAAAGAAACCTGAGGACTGTTTTAAAAATAATTATTTTATCTATTTTAGTTATATTATCTTGCTTATACTATAGGACCTGTTAGGAAATAAAACTTTATGAAGAGAGAAAGAAAAGAGTATTTTGATTTTTAGAGTGAACATTTAGTGCTTTCCTTTTTCTAGTGCTTTGAGCTTTTCTTCCTAACAAAGCAAGGCTGGCAATTCTGTCTTCGTTGCGTCTCTCTAGCTCCTAGCAAACGACCCTGCTCACTTTTAGTTCTCTTGATGCTGGGTTCCCCACGTAGCCCCCAATCTCTCAGGGCTTCTGCCGTGGCACTGCCAGTGTTCTTGTTTATGCTCTACCCTAGCCCTCACACAGAATTTGGCTACTGCCAGATCTTACCTGGCCTCTATTCCAATTCCTTAGAAACATTTTATCTAAGTGACCGTGGGTTTTGTAGTTTAAGAATGGCATTTTTGGTCAGGTGTGGTGGCTCACATCTATAATCCTAGTACTTTGGGAGGCTGGGGTGGGAGGATCGCTTGAGGCCAAGAGTTTGAGACCAGCTTGGGCAGCATAGCAAGCCCTTGTCTTCACGAAAACATTTTAAAAATTAGCCAGGTATGGTGGCATGTGCCTGTATTCCCAGCCACTCAGGAGGCTAAGGCAGAAGGTTCACTTGAACCTAGGCGTTCAAGGCCAGCTGGGCCACATAGTGAGACCTCATCTCTACAGAAATGTTATACAACTGCACTCCATTCTGAATGACAGAGCAAGACCTTATCTGTAAAGACAAATAATAATAATAGCAAATTTTTCTCATTGTAAAAGATATGCAAGTTCCCGTAGCAACATTAGACATTTATATAAACAAACAGAATAAGAGAAAAAAGACCTCTAATCTCACCAGCCAAATGTTACTGCATGAGTTTCATGACTTATTATTTTGTATTTTTCTCCAAAATAGGATCATACTAAAAGATTGTTTTCTGGCCTCCTTTTGGTATTATTTTCAATTGTCATGAGTGTATTTACATGTCAACAAATATTCTTTGCAATGTTGTGCTATTTTATTTCCATAAGGCAGTAAAATCACATGTTTTTGAAAAATTGGAGCTACATAAAAAGGTCATAAGTTGAGACGTCTCCTTCTCACCTCTGCTCTTCCATCATCCTGCTCCCATAATCACTTTTTTTTGAGTTGGTGTCTCACTATGTTACCTAGGCTGGAGGACAGTGGCATGATCACAGCTCACTGCATCCTCAATCTCCTGGACTCAGGTGATCCCACCTCAGCCTTCTTAGTAGCTGGTACTACAGGTGCATGCCACCACATTCGGCTTTGTGTGTGTGTGTGTGTGTGTGTGTGTGTGTGTGGAGATGAAGTCTGACTATGTTGCCTAGGCTGGTCTCAAACTCCTGGGCTCAAGGAATCCTCCCACCCTAGCCTCCCAAAGTGCTGGGGTTACAGTTGTGAGCCACCATACCTGGACCATAATCACTTTTACTGGTTTCTTGTGTATCCTTCCAGTGTTCTTGTTTATGCAGAAACAAGCAAATATAAAGAAATATTCTTATTCCCCCCAACACTTTCTAACACAAAACAGAAAATAGTGCATGTTCTTTTCTGCCCATGCTTCTTCCTCCTCCTCCTCCTCCTCCTCCTCCTTCTTCAAACTAAACAATACATTTTAGAGATCTTCCCCTATGAATACAGGATCCTTCCTCTTCTCTATTAAATAATAGCATTTTTTTTTTTTTTTTTG